ATAGTTTTCTGAGTCCCGGGACTGAAATCCAGAGCCCCAGTTGCAGAGGGCATCAGCCAGTGCCCGCACTCACCGTTCTTTTCCTTTCCTTTCCCCCTCTTCTCGCCTCTGCCTGCCCTCAGCGCCCCTCTCCGTGCAGCTCCATCCCCTCCCCCCACAGGCACAGGTGCCTCCCCTCCTTCTCTCCTGGGGGCAAGGACAGGGAGCCCACCCCTGACCCTTCCCCATTTCACGGCTTCTATAATTAACATGCGGCACAGTGTGAGGCCCAAGTGTAAGGATGTGGAGCAACACTTCCTGGCTTAGATCCTGGCTCCGTGGCCTTCTAGCTGCAGTGCCCTCGACCGAGTGGCTGGACTGTCCTCTGCCACTCTCATGTCCCATGAAAATCAGGGTACTGGGAAGACCTCCCTCCAGGGGTTGCTGCATTAAATTATTCAACACACATTAAGCATTTAGAGCAATGTCTGGCACACAGAAACTGCACAATCAGTGTTGCCATTCATATAATTATGAGGCAGTTGTGTGGGAGGCCAGGCTACTGATCCTTTCTTGGGTCTGTGAATTGACCAGGGCTTTGTAACTCACCCCACACTGGAAGGAGGGAAAGAAAACATCGTCGGGCCTCTTTTCCTATCTATGTGTTGTGCTCATTCGGGAACTGAACCCATGTTTGTTGAGCACCTACTACATACCTGCTTGGTGCTTCTCAAAGTGTGACCCCCAGCTCTGCAGCACCAGCCTCTGCCGGGGCCTTTTTAGAAATGCAGATTCTCACCATCCTCCACCCCTTTCATCCTTCTCCCCGGATGTTCCGAATCAGAAACTCTGAGGGGGGCGCCAAGCAATCTGTGTTTTAACAAACCCCGAGAGGGCTTCTGATGAACTAAAGTGTAAGAGCCCCTGCCCTGGATGGAAAACATGGTCCCTGCTGGCCCCCAGGGAGCTTGAATGAGGCCCGGTCCCTGATCTCCAGGAACACAGAGACTCCTGGAGAGACAGGTCTGTGACTGCGGGCGACCAGGCATCCTGAGATGCACAGTGGAGCCACGGGGCCATGAAGGAGGGGCGGCCCGGTCTGCGTGCTGGGAGGAGGGTTGGAAGGACTTCCTAAAGAAGCAGTGCTTGCACTGAGTCGGAGAGAAAGACTGGAACTTCTCAAGCTCCAAGTGGGGAGGGAGAAGATATTCGCGGGAAGGAGTGTGTGTGCCCTGGTGCTGGGCGGACCTGCACACAGAACTCAGCTCTTGAAAATCGAGTCCCAGAGAGGAAGGGCTTGTGTGTAGTTCCCGTGTCTAAGCGTGCTCTGGCCTGCAGGAGACTCCAATAACTATATGAATGATTGGACACAAAGGTCCTACATTCCCACATACTTAACTTTCACTGAATCCCTTCTTTTCAGCATAAGATAAAACAAACAAACCTACTTGTAAGGGGTCTGCTTTACAGCACGAGACTCCTGGAGGAAATTCGCCAGTGACTGGACTGCTGAACGGCTGTGTCTAAAGCGTGGATGGGCAGGAGGGGACCTGTTACCACTAAATCTACCTGGGCAGCGCAGTGAGGCCCAGAGCACTTGCTTGGTGCCAGGTTTTCCCGAACCTGCAAGTTTATCCGACTGTGCACGCTGTGGCTGCTTCAGAACCACACGGGCCTTTACAGGAGACACCATGGCAGGTTCCTTACGAAGACGTGGAGAACCAAATGGGTCAGCGCGTTTCCTCCTGCTTTAGTCTCGACCGACTCTGCATGCGGAATGACTGGGTCTCGGCCTCTCCCCGCCCTGGGCTCGGAGGCCGCCCTGTGCCAGACGCTCCTTCTCCTTTCTTCTGGATGCCAGGGCAGGCTGCACAGGGCCTGGGAGTCCCCCCAGGCACCTCTGCATCTTCACACTGACCCCGGCGACGGGCCCGGGGGCCGATTCAAAAGCGAGGACATCTGCCAAATTAGACCCCCCGTGCTGAGGTTTCCCACCTTCGAAGCCACTCTAAGGGAGCCGTCCTGCGGGACTTCCCCCGGCTTCCCCGCCGCCGCTGTGCCCAGTCTGGCTCTGCGCAACCCAGCTAATTACAGCCCGGGCCAGCTCGCCCTGGCCTCTGATCTGACCGAGTCTCCAGGAAGGGCTGCTCTCGCCCGTGTTCCTCGTCTCCTGGAGCGAAGATCACAGGCACTTCAGAGGAAAGGGGGCATGGAGGCCACGGGCCCCTCCCCTCACCCCGCAGCCCCGTCCACTGTCTTCTAGGAGTACACGCCTCCCAAACACCCGCATGCAAATGATGGACAGATGGGGACCGACATACCTACTGTTCTTAGAACCAAAGTGGCGCTGGATTTGCCTTGACTTCTCTCAGCAAATCTGATCTTTTTTGGCAGAATCAAGATTTTCAATCTTGAAAATAACCCCCCAGATTAACTTAGTAAGTGAAGTCATGTTTTAACTTTTCTCCCCATTTGATCTCTGGGTTCACTGCTCTGCAGTCGTACTTGAGGAGTAAGCAAACCGGACCTCCCAGTGCGGGAGAGCTGTCCTCACAGCGCAGGCGTGGCTGCAGGGCGGCTCGCCTGGGTTGTAGAAGCATGGCCAATTTCCTATCACAGTGGAGGCATTGGAGATGTTCATTGCAAGTCGCTTCTTTTCAGACCACAGTTTTCGCATCTTGAAAAAGAGGGAGTGGAACGGGGCTCCAAGTCTCTGCCAGGGTTGAGGTTCTGTCAGCGTTAGGTCTTCCCCTACCGAGCAGCAGAAGGATCGGGGCGGGTGAGGGAGCGCTGAGGACGGAGAACAGGCCCTGGCTCTGCTCTGCACACACACACATACACACGCACTCACTCACAGAGACACACACTCACAGGGACACGCACACTCATAGAGACTCGCAGTCACACAGACACACGCACAGAGACACACACATACACACTCTCATCCTTTCTTCACGTGGATCTTGCACGACTAGATGCCCTTTGTTTCTAGGTGCACGTTAGAATGAGTAGTGTTACTGGTGGTAAACAAGCAGAGGAGAAAATAATACCACGTAATTTTTATAATAACCACATGCTTGTCACTTTGTAACACCTCGTGTACAGATCCCTCCACTTGTTCGTCCTGCGCAGGCTTATTCTTCTGCAAACATGCTCTCTGTGCCAGTTCCTGGGGTAAGCACTGGGATGACAGACAGACGGACTGCAGCTTTTTACATGGTTATCGTTAACATATCTTGAAAACAGTAACTAACTCAGGGAAGTTGAAATAGAAATCAGAACAGGGCTACGTAAGATCATCCGTGAGATTCCAGGCAAGAATCGTCCCTTTTTAACAGAAGGTCTCTGCCCGGAATCCGACGGCCGCTCCCCAACACACCGTAAACCTCACGGGCAGAGCACTGAGCTGCTTGTTTCTGAACTCGAAAACTTTTTGTTCTTTAAACTGTTTCTTTTTTTTTTCTGTTCACCCAGTGCTTCAGTTTCCTATAAGATCCACTTTTCTTTATTTCGGTCCTTGCCCCAGGGATATCCTTGGAGTTAATATTTGTGAAGAGAATATATTTGTTAGTTACCTTGTGTCTCAAGGACATAGTTGCCCTAAAATAGGCTGAGATTATTAGTTTTTACTACTTCGGCTTTGCATAGAAAGAAACGCCTACCAGCCACATAGCGTTGAACACACCAGGGACCGATCTGTTCCCCACCAGCTCCTCGCTTCCCGCTTCACTCTCTTTGTGCCCCAGAATGCCTTGGTCCTGGAGGCAAAGGCTGCGGCCGTGTGTGCGGGTTACACTGGCAGCTGGTGGCCAGTGTCGAAGGTGGCCTTGAATGCCTGCGGTCTGGTGGGCAGGACACGCATTCTCGGCATTCTGAGTGCCTCCAGACTGGGGCTGAGGCCAGGGCACAGAATCTTATAAAACGTGCCAGGGTGTAGAAAAGATTTTGGTAAGCCAGTTCACGCAGAAATCAGTGAAGACACTGATCCCACATCATTTCATCCTGAGCTCTTGACTTCATTTATCTAAATATTTGATTGATTTTTTTTTAACATTCCATGCCCTCAGTCATTGCTTCCTCAATATAGTGTACAACAATTATTTCCCCAAAGCTATATGCAAGTTGAACCAAACTTAGGTAAATATGGAGATTGAGGCTTGGTCTGCAGGGGAGGGGGAAAGTAAGTGCCAGGGGCCAGGGAGCTGGCTGGTGATGGTTCAAGAGAGCCTGGTTGCAAAAGGGAGTCATAAACTCCAAAGGGAGAGAAATTCCTATGGAACGGGCTAGTGTTGGCCAGGTTTGAAAGCCAGAAGGACTTCAGAGGAAAGACAGCATTCAAGGTCATAGGAAGACAGCAGTTCCTGGTGGCTGACGCTAATATGAGTGTGCGACTGTGTTCACAGACAAACACCATCGTGCACTGCTGCCAATCAAATCTTCCTGCAGCGGAGTCTGCAGTAATCAGCAAAAAGAACCAACCAAAACAGGACTCATGAATGGTATTGAAACATACACATTTAGGAGAGCTGTATTGAAGTTTAATAATGAGTCCTGCTTTAGGATTTCCCATTTGCTAGGTTTTGTGTAAGAAAATAATTTAAAGGATATGAAATTCATTGCCTTTGTTTTGAAAAAGTAGGGAAGTTAGAAACTACTTCATTTGCCTCTTGATGAGAAAATACTAGAATACACTTGTTTGATTTAGGTATGTGATAGGTGAAATAATCACATAAGCCATGACAATAGGTGAACTATCATGGATTTAATCATAATCAAGTTGATTATAAAACAACGTAGTTATCATTTCCTTCAATCTTACTGTCCCAGTCAAAACTGTATATTAAACTACTTAACAGGTTATTTTGTGTTAAGTTTAGAAAATTAAAAATCACTTGCTTTTTGTGTACAGCTACCAAATTTTTGGTGCACATGAGAGAGTCACTTATTGCATGATTTAGTTAACAGCAATGTTTGCTAACTGATTGCGAGTAACTCTAACTCCTTCTATTCTTGTTTTACAGCTTGGCTCATCCTCGTCTGTGCCTTTTACATCTATTTTTTCTCAGCTTTTTATGACTGTTGTGGTTCCTCTCGTTATCGGACAGGTAAGGTCTCTAATGCAGTCTGCTCTTTACAGATCAAATTGTAAGTTCTTGCAAAGTGTGAGGAGAGTTAAGGAAAGAGATGGAGGAAGAGACAGTTTAATGAAACACAGGTTGTACCAATCACAATAGTCTCTCTCTCTCTTTTTTTAGTTAATAATGATATGTTTTACAGATAGGGACACCTGCACAGAATCTTGATTTTTTTTTACATTTATTTCTCTTCTTTATAGCTGTGCAGCTAGCTTGGGGACATGTTGCAAGCCATTACCTTACTCTGTGACTTCCATTGCGGTCTCAGCATTTAGGACCATTGCTGGGAATGAGCATCTGTCTCTGGTTGGCTGCTTCCTAGACACCTCCAACATCAATTATCAGATTCATGGTCCCGTAATTAATAAAATAAACATTGAATTCTATTAGCTCTTAAATTAGATCTTAGAAAATTTAGTTTCCTTTATCATTCTTGTTGAAGTGGATAATGGAATACATTCTTATATTTCAATTTCATTTAACAAGGTAATAATAAGCATGTAATTTAATTATCAGCATACAAATTTTAAAGCAAGGTTTTTTTTTAACTCATAGGTAGCCAGAGTAAAGAAGTAAAGAATGTAACGTGCCACCAAATGAGCAAGTCTTAGGAAACAGTATGTTTGGATGATTAAGAGCATAGACAGGAGTTTAAGAGCAACTAGACTCTAGACTTAGTTCTACCTGGTATTTGCTGTGTGACCTTTGACAAATCATTTGATCTCCTTAGCTCTAGATTCGTAATTTATTAACCCGTGTACTAGTAATAATGCCCATGTGAAAAGGTGGTTGTGAGGACTAAAGGAAGTATGGATGCGTAGGAAGGTTTTGTCATCACAGAGCCCGACACAGGCAGTCACACCACCATTGTCAGATTCCCTACGAACGCTGAACGCTGAACTCCACGCTATGGAGTGTTAACTATAAAAATGATGTATGTGTAGACAGGTAGTATTTACATGTGGTCTCAGGTTGGGCTCCCTGGGAAATGCACTCTGGGACTGAGGTCTCCCTTTTGGAAGTACCCTTGGGCTCCACACCTCTGGGAGACTGGAGTAAGCACAATGGGGAGGAGGGAGGAGGTGACCGCGATGCAGCCATGCAGAGGCCTCCACACACCCTAGGGCAGGGCCCGGCTCAGCGGGGGGGCCTCAGACTTGTCCTGCCCACAGCAAGAGTGCCTGTCCTTACCCTCCCGCCTCCCTCCCACTCCCACAAGAGGGGTGACCTCGGCTGGACCTGCTCTCTCGGCAGCAGCTCCCACAGAAACACGGCTGCCATCTTTCCGTCCAACCCACACAGCCCGCGGATGCAGGGGCAGCGCCGCCTTCCTGGAGGGCTGGGTGCGGGTGGCAGCTCCCCGCATCCGCTGTACAGGCACTACTCTCTTTATTTTACTTCCACTTAGTGCTTAGAGAAGGGACCAAGTTTAGGATAAGGAGGAAGGATTTTGAAGCACCCAACAGATGCCATTTAATTAAATGTAGAGTCATACTTGAAAAAAAGACTTCTCCCACCCTGCTAATCACAGAGCAGGTATTCTGAATAAATATTCTGCTCCCCCGCCCCCACCTCCCTGACCTCTTGGCCACATTTCCTGCACTCACCTCCCTGGCTTTCTCTCCATTCCTGCTTAACTTCTCTGTTTGGTGTGTCTTCCCCGGCCACCCTCCCACCCCGGCTCATGGCTCATTTGACTCTTTAATTCGTGTCTTCTTTGAACCACCCACCTATCTAAGGATTCCCAGTTATCTTTATTGCAGCACTTTGTTCAATTCCTTTCGTGTCCTTTTTCATTATTACGTACCATTGGTTCCCCAGTTAACTGTTGGTCTCCCCCTTCAGACTGTAATGAGTACGGGAACCACATTTGTTGTGCTTACCACACCCAGAGCACAGGCCCCCAGTAAATGTGTGTTGAATGAATGAATGAATGAATGGTGGAAGGAGTGAATGAGTGAGAGTTCTATGATCAGTGACAGAAATGTTGTATCTTAAAGAGACATAATACCCACCTGCCCTTCTCAGCTATAAAAGACGGTTTATGCTGTGGGCAGTATTAGCTTAAACCCATACTTACTTTCTTGGATCTGAAAATAATTTCATGTACTAGCCAAGGCTCATGCATTTCTTTCTTAGTGGATCTGGGAAATATGTCTATTAATGATAAGTGTTTGGCTTAAAACATATGGACAAAGAAAAGATCTTTGCCTCAGTCATTCAGTAGGTTTTTTTAAGGTATAGGGCTACAGAATTTATATAATTAAGAATATTCATCTGGAAGAATTATGAATTGTTCAATTGTGTATCCTCTACAGGCCCAGCAGTAAAGTATTACAGTAAATCATAAGTAAAGGTAGCCAAAAAGTAGCATAAGTGTTGTTGTTTTTTTTCAAAGTACTCTAGGTACCAGAGTGCTTTAATGGTTTTTTCCAAAGAGGAAACCTATATATTTACATCCACCACCCCACCACCCTATAGTGCAGGGCAGGAATTACCAGTCACAGCCCAGTCTCCACCTGTAGAAACCGCCTTGCCTCCTCCCTCCCCTTGCTCCCTTCCTTGCATGCAGGGAGTCAGCAACCGCCACCATTTCTGCCCCAGAAACCATTCCTACCTGGCATCTCCAGGTCACACTGCCGGAGAGGATGCCACGCCGTCGCCGTCGCTTGTCTCAATCATTGCACCTCCCAAACCTGCCTCTGCTGTGAGCCTCTTCCCATTCCTGTCCAATGTCTTCACTGCTCCAGGGTCATCCTAAGAAACCAGCCAGGCTCTCCTTAAAAATGTCCTTTGTGGTTTCCTGTTGCCCATTCCTGCGTGCCCCACAAAGCCATTCATCATTTGGCCCCGAACTGCCTCTCCAGTGGCACCCCACCACCCTTCTTTTAGGTTCCTGACCTGCCCTGCTGTCTGCACCCCACTCCTGCCCCCACCCGGCCCCTCACTGCTCCATGCCTTTCACCCGCCATCCCATTTTTTCTGCCAGCAAACCCCCATTCGTTCCCTCAAACTCAGCACAGAGACACCCTCTGACATGCAGCGGACCTGCTCGGACACCCAGCAGGGACTGAGCTCCGGTGGTTCTCCCAGGGGCTTGATTCTACATGTATTGGGGGGGAGGGACGACTATAATTTATCTGCAAGCTTCCTAGAAGCAGAGACTCTATTACATTGCAATAAGTGCAGTTAACAGCAAACGCCACTGCAGGGAATGAGCTGTATAAGAAGACTGGCTGAAGAAAGGTCCGAATTCACTGTCACGGAGCCCCCAGCAGCCGTTCCCCGAGATCTCCAGCTTTGCTGGAGAGAAATGCATACTGGGTCTCACCTCGCTTCACATTCAGGAGCCCAGATGTGAAATGTTATGTCACGCTTCCCAGCACTCTCAGTCTCCTTCCTTACAGGCTTGCTTCTCCCTGCAAGGTCCCTCTCACCTCCCCAACCCTCCCCAGGTTGCCATTCCATTCCGGGCTCGCTGGCTCTGCCTGCCTCTCACACGTGCTGGCCTGGCCCCTGCCTGAGACACTTTGCACTGGTGGGTCCCTGTGCTCGGGACATGCCTCGCCTCCCCCTCCTCACCCGCCTCCAGGAGGCTCGCTGTCACCCCCTCCAGTTTAAGCCACTACTTTAATAGGATCATTATCTGCTTTCTGTTTCTTTGCTGTTTTTGCTTTTTACTTCTCTCCTCCACCTGGAAGGTGAGCTCCAGGAGCCAGAGACCCCTCAGGAAGTAGGAGTCCAATTTCTGTTCGTCCAGCTACACCAGCATCTTGACCTCTTACGTAACTCACTCATGCGGGCTCTGCGAGCCTGCGTTGTCGGCTTCAGCCGGCGCAGGAGACTCGTGTCTGTGTGAGGTTTCTGCCGAGCACAAGAGGGAGTTACAGTGGGAAGAATGTTCAGAGTGTTAAGTAGATGATGGGCGCCTGTTGTGTTCATTCACTGCGGTAGTTTTTCCTTTTTTACAAAGCATACTGTCTCATTTTGAATCTACTCAATATTTAACACAAAATATTTTAAAAGAAAAATGTTTTGTAAATTGGATGTGATTTTATATCCCTGACTATCCATTCCCACGGAATGTTAATGAAGAAACAAAACGCCTTATGAAAATTGATGGATTCGATGGGATAGTGGATAGAAACTGAAGAAACAATCTGAAGCCACCTCGAAGAAAAATAAATTTTTAAAATTCAGACTTAGCATGAAAAATTATCTACCATATATTCCCCACTCAAAAATCAGTTAAAATACCCTGGAAAAAAAAACGGAAACTGAAATGATAGCCGTTGCATTTCTCAGTCTTCTCGGTATGTGGACATGCGTCATCTGGGATGTGTGGGCTTTCCCAGTCTCCGCCTTGCAGGTCGTGCAGTGACGGATATGTGTCCCAGCTTGTTAGAAGCCCGAGGTCAGATTCAAGCCTCCCTTTGACCTTCACTGATGCTTCATTTAAAATAGAGAAAATCAAAATGTAGGAAGTGAGACAATAAAATAAGAGGCTGTGGGAGATTTTTTTCCAGCTCCACAGGAAAAAGCTAACAAGTGAATGAGAACTTGTCACTTAACTTGGAATGCCTGAGCTCCTCCGAGCTACGAGAGCACACGCAGGAGTGTGGATCCTGGAGGCAGACGCCCTGGCGACCTCACCAGCATGTGCCTGTCCCCCCTCGTCTTGGCCGTTTATTGTTCCCCACGAGGGACTTCTGAGGCGTCAATCTGGTTGTGTCGACGCATCTCGAGAAGAACCTTGTTTTCTATAAGAGGTTAAACATTTCTATAAGGCGAAGAAGCTTGGGGCATTAGAAAATGGTGTGGATGCCTGACAAACGGAGAATGATCGTGTGAGCTGTGTAAGTGGCCCAACTAAGAGAAGACGAGGCTTCCCGGGGTGGACGCCCGAAGCACGTCTTTGAGGCATATGAACTCCGCTTCCCCCAGTCATTTATGAAACACTCGAACACTTTTCCAGCTACACAGTGCAAACACAGCTGCTTTGTGAATTTAATTTTAAAGGAAGATGGAAAAGCTCCATAGAGCCTGGCAAGGTATAAAATGATTTACTTAGAAAACACAGATAAATATCACTGTAAGACTAAAAGACAGTGAAAGACAATCTCTTTTCCTCTAGGGTTATTGTTTCCCTTGTCAGTCTATCCAATTCCCAACTTTCTAGTCATTTTCTTTATAGAGATTAAGTGTCCAGATTAAGGCACTGATGTGTTTAGAAGAAACGGATTTTAGCCGGGAGGATGCGGGGCTCAGGAGCCCCTGGTACTGGCCGTGCTAGAAGAGCCCTGTGTACCATGAGCCCCAGAGTGTCTGTCATGAAGAAAGAGATGATTAGGTGAGCTAAGTCAGTTGCTGATCAGAGATTTGCCTGGGTTTTGAAAATGGACTTGACTTTCAAGTTGCACCTCGTTTCCATGTACTTGTGTATTAAATGGTCAGAGGGGACGGTGGTGGTGGGAGAGAAAGACACTTTTACTTTTAGAATTAGAATCATACATCCTGTAACCTATTGCAGAGGGAAGACCTTTGTGTTTTTAACAATTTTACAGGAAGACCACATCTATTTCAATAACTCCATGTAATTTCCATTTAGTTTTACTATACTTCCGAAATGAGTTGAGTTGTATTAAACTTGGGTAACTCCAGGTTCATGCTATCAAACATAACAGATTACCAAATGACCTTTTACATGAAGTCCCTCTACAGAGGGACTTATTAGCCTTCTAATAAGCAGCTCCCCCCACCGTGACATATGTGAACATGGGCCATCCGGGCACTCTGAGTGCCGTTATCCAAAACTTATAATATTCTAACACATCCGTGCATATGCTGTGTAAGGGGCTGCTCTTCTTCCTCTGCATTGCACTACATTTTAACTTTAAAGAAAGAAAGGAACACTAGACAATTACTATGGTTTAGAATCACTTCTCCCCCCCCCAAAAAAGCCGTAATTTTTAATAAATTCAACCGTAACTTTATTTTTTTTAAGATTTTATTTATTTTCAGAGAGAGGGGAAGGAGAAGGAGGGAAAGAAACATCAATGTATGGTTGTCTCTCTCACGCCCCCTACTGGGGACTTGGCCTGCAACTGAGGCATGTGTCCTGACTGGGATTCGAACCAGAGAGCCTTTGGTTTGCAGGCAGGCACTGAATCCACTGAGCCACACCAACCGCCTCAACTATAACTTTAATTACAAGATCTACTTTTTAAAAATATGAACCACTCTTTATCTGGGCATACATGATACTCTTTCCCCTTCATTCCACCCCACCTGAGCTTCAAAGTGTCCCTATATCTTTCTTGTACCAACTGGTCTGCTTTCTGCCAGGACTCCTTCTACTAACAACTTACTCGGTCTTTCAGAAAGGATGAAGTTGATTCAACAGCCATTTGTTCAAAGGTACTCTTGAGAGTAGTTTATTTTGCTCTGGAGTGTCTGTGAAGGTGTGCTCCATTGCAAATTAAGGCTTTTTAGTGACAGAGCAGAAGATGACAGAACCCCATCAGCCTTGTCAGAAGTTCCCTGACCTCATTATTGTTCATGGATCATGGTAATTCAGCCTGTTGTGAGATCTCATGTTCAATTATGCAGGATAATGAGTGGCTCAAAACTTAATATGTCTCAACTGTACTCCCTATTATGGGGCTTGCTCGGCTTCTTTAAAAGTGAAAGGTTTTAAATAGAGTGGCTCACTCTTACATCCAAATAAAAGTTATCCCCAATATTCAGCCTGTCCTGATTTTAAATATCTGATTTGGTTTTAAAATCTGAGAGGACTGCCATATAACTTTATATTTCACTGGTCCCTGTGTAGGAAAATTAGGACAGGTTGATTCATTTTTAATTGTTAATTCTGGAATTCTAAAAGCATGCAAATGGCATTTGTCTTTGGATTCACAAAAACTCTCGATATTCAGAGTGTGAATTATTCAAGCTCCCACAACACATGCACTTTCGCTTTTCAAGCATGAGTTATAATTTAATTAAAAACTTCTGGTGCATTGCTAGCATTTTAAATATTAATATGTTCCATGGATCACTTCCGATTATCTACTGTCTTGAAATTCTTGAAGCTGTCAGATTTTTAAGATTCCCAAAGTTGCACTTGGAATTGTCTGTTGAGGCAAAGGGGACTGTGGTAATTACACACATCCATTAGGATGAGCAGAGGAGATAAACTTTGGGGACGCTTAATGGGCAAGTCTCAGTGACAGCCAGCAAAGAGCATTTGGGAAGATGAAGGATGGATTTGAATGCAGTTGAAAATATACTCTCATTACGGACACCAGAGGAAGTTGCATTACAAATGTAAAGTTCCCCAGAAGAAGAGTGGCATGGCAGAGAAGCTTTGAAATCTGCTGTGGCCACCATCCAAGCCATTCCCTTCCCTTTACATCTTCCTGCTGTCAGAGTCACTCTGAGGTGCCCCGTTCCACCCCTGTGTCTCTGCAACGGGGCCACCTGTCGATCCCTGTGTTTCAGATTGTCCGGAGGTACATCAAGGACTGGCTTGAGAGGACAAAGCCCCCGTTCGGCGCTGTCAGCAGCAGCGTGCTCCTCATGATCATCTACACGACGTTCTGCGGCACGTTCTCCAACCCGAACATCGACCTGGACAGACTCAGCCTTGTCATCATCCTGTTCATCAGTAAGTCGCCGTCCCCTCAGCCTCCTCAGCGGCAGAGGGCAGCCACTTGTGTGTCCTGAGTCCATTTCGAATGTTAGCTTGGTTAGAAAAGGAGACTGCGTTTCATACTCTTGTATGTGCTCAGTGACTTGATCCCGTGCACCTGTTTCTCAGAAAGACACCAGTCGTGGCCTTTGTCTTTTTACGTCTGATTTACAGCAGTTGATGCCAGCTGGAAGAAGCCATAGTATCTGTCAAATTCAAATGTTAGATTGGGCACTTTTTTGCCAATTTATATTACTATAACTAATCTTGTTCTTTATCATGAATGAAAAGTAGGATTTCTACCATATGATACTGCTTTTTAATAACAGGTGGTTAAAATGTGAATATTTACATCACCTTTCTATACTCAAAGTAATAGAATTTCATTGTAAGAAGTAGCAGACTGTAAAACGCAAGTGCCGGCTCAAGAATTTGGTAATGTACTATCTACCGCTGCTTTCGAGGAGAAGGCAGAGCTGCAGAGTTGCCGTAGAGACCACATGGCCCTCAAGCCTGACATGTGTTTGATGTGGCCCTATGAGTAAACTCTGCTGACTTCTGCTCCAGAACAGAGACGGCAAGGAGAGGGGTGTCCCCGGCAGGCAGCCGGAACCACGGAAGAGGCCAGTCTGGGTATATAAGTCACCTGGTCCTGGCTTCTCAGTCTCCGTCAGGCTGCAGGCAGAGCTCAGGACAATCGTTTTAAATGTGATAAGTAACTAAAACATTGGTTGTTAACAAAAAAAAGAAATCTTTTGTTCTATTTATCCTGTACTACTAAAGACAACTTTGGGTAATTGCCCTATCAAATAATCTTATGTTATTAAAATCAAAATGAGTTACTCCAAAATATTTATTATAGCCTACTGTATTTATGCTGTTTGCTGGAAATCCTCAGTATAAACCAGCCCTCTCTAAACTGAACAAATTAAATAACCAAATCTTAAATCAAAGAGGGTTTTAGATCTGTTGTGAGTAGCAGACCTCATAGATTTTATCTGAGGATATTGTCAATAAGAATGGGTTAAGTCCCCCTAATTTAATGATTCTATCATTCCAGCAATTTATGCTTATTTATTCATTTGTTTTTCTATTTGAGTTCTCATAAATTTCAGATCAAACGAAGCATACCAGTAAATATGCTACAGATACTGTTCTTACAGGCCTAATTTAGATTCAATCTTTTCTTTTTTTCAGTATTTTCTATTCAGCTGAGTTTCATGCTTTTAACCTTCATCTTTTCAACACGGTAAGTGATTTGGTATTTCTTGCTGTGACTGGTTTTCTAAATGAGGACCTGTGCCCTTGACTTAACCTCTCTGCCACCACACTGTTCTCATCTCTCTCCCGTCTGCCTGACCTTCCCTTCTGGCTCCTGCCACCCTCGAGTTGGAGACATTCTGAAAGTGTCTGTCCTCGGCCCTTGTCTCACGTGGGCACATCGTGTGCTTCGGCAGCCTCTGCTTTCTGCTGGCCTGAGCTGTCAGCTGTCAGCTGGTGGTTGGCAAGCCCGGCCCTGAGCTGCAGCTTGACTGACTACCTTAGCGCTCACCATTAGGTATCTTCACCTGACCGTCTCAATCAGACCCCGCACTCAAGGTACTCAGAATGGAATCCATCTTTTTCCCTGACACTTTCTTCGTCTCGTGTGTTTACTAACTGTTAATGGAACCACTGTCCATAATTACTCAGACCAGCATCCTTCACATCATTCATTTTTCAAAGTCTCTTGACTCTGCCTCTGTAATATTTGTTGTGCTTCCACAGCCTCATCTTGCTCGAGACCATTGCAGTGGCTGTCTTACTGGTGTTTCCACTTCGAGGCCCAACTTGTTTATGCATTTCATGCTGCTTCCAACGACTCAAAGTTCTGAGGGCAGTGCTCGCGTGTAGAGATCTGCCCTGGGTGTCCAGTATCTGCAGAGTGAAGTTCACTTTGGGGGCAAAAGGCAACATCCGCCTCATGAACCACTACTAGCAATCATGCCGTCTAAGCTTGTGGTGGAGGTAGAGTCTTTGCTGTTCCCTAAAAGATCCCACGTTCTCATTTCTGTCCTTCGCTGAGGCTCTCCCTGTGTCACGGTTGGTCTCCACATCCTGCTTCATCTTTTCTGGTCTTAAAGACTCACCTCCAGTGCAACTTCTTCCACCGGTATTAATATACTCAACAGATACTACTTGAGCCTTTGGCATGAGAAAGTCTCCATAGCTAATGTCAGAAGTAAGAGGTAATTTCGGTCCTGCACGAGCCTATAGACTAGATGTACACACTGATAACTGAGCGTCCCCGGAGTGGTACGGTGAGCCAGCCTGTGGTGGGTTCAAAGAAGGAAGCCCTTCCCAAGAACGTGGTAGGGCAAGGCTCCTGGCAGAGAAGGGGTTTCCCATGAGTCATTAAGACGGCCAATGATTCCGCAAAGAAAGAGGCAAAGAGGGGGCCGTGGTGGGAGAAGAGACAATGATAGAAATGGGGGCACACACAGAACACGCTGGGACAAGGGGAGCGGAGGGAGGACCTGGACGGGGGAGCTCGGGACTGGCCGCCGGACCTCGGATGCCAGGTAGTGGCGATGCCTGGGTCATTTATGAGGCCCGATGCTGTTGGGGTGGCGACCCTTACGGCACGTGGTCGAGCAGGAGTCTGATCAATAAAAACTCATTGACCGGTATAATTTGAAGCATTTCACCTCACCTGTGGCCATGATTTTTTGAGTAAGAGTAAAGCCTAGAGCCACTGAGTGACAGAGAAAATGTGACTGACTTGGGTAAGTCTGAGAGGAGGAGCTATTTCCAAGGCTTTTTCGGTAAATGGCTTGTTAGGTCACCTTGGAAATGATGGTTTGCCTTTCACCAGCTCTTTGTTTACTGGTCCTCGAGGCCGAGTGATCATCTGGCCCCTCCCCCTGTCCTGTCGGACGAGGTCAGCTGCAGGGTCCCGTCAGTGCCCGTGGCTGAGTGATCATCTGGCCCCTCTCCCTGTCCTGTCGGACGAGGTCAGCTGCAGGGTCCCGTCAGTGCCCAGAAAACTCCTGACACTCCCAGAGCGGCCCCTGCCGGGGCTGCTGAAGGAGAGAGGGCGGCATCACAGCTGCTGAATTAAAATCGGGAATCCCATCCTGAAGGAGGCTGGACTTTCACGAGGCCTCGTGGTGTCGAGACCCTTTTGCTGTACCTTCCTCTGCCTCCGCTGAAGCGCTGCTGCGTTTCGAACTCGCCCGGCCCAACGTCAGACGCGCCGTCCTTCCACAGACACCGGAACGTGGGGTGGCTGTCATCCGCTCCCTGCGCACGGGTGTGCAGCAGCCACCAGGTAGTCCGTCAACAGTCGGGGATTTTCCAGTGGGCCCAAATTTGGAAGATGGTTTTCACTTTGTTTCCCTGCCGAGAGACCTTACAGCACCTCGGGATTCTGCTGGAGGAGTGAAATGGCCAGCATTCACTGAACCTGCCCCGTGCCGGGCATCGTGCTGGGGCGCATGCGCTTGCTGTTTCTCCTAAGTCTGGCAGCAACGACCGCGATACTACGCGTGTTGCAATTTTGCAGATGAGGTTCCACGCTCAGAGCAGGTTAGTTTAGTCCCTTGCCTGAAGTCAGATTTTAGTAGTTTAGTGACTTGCCCCATGTCAGATGGCAAATAGTGCACCTAGAATTGAAGTCCACTTCCATCTGCTGTTTCCCAAAGTGCTGACCCGTGCTGCTTCTACTGCATGGAACTCCCTCAGTTACCTTTAAAATTCATAATGCTTGTTCGCTTAGGGAGTGTATAGAGAATGTTTAACTGGATTCTTCAAGTTCACACAGAAACACAAATTAATCAGAGATACCAAGAGTTGGAGCAAGGACCCATTGCTTTACATGCTGTTTAATTTAGTTTTCTTGCCCTACTTTTTGTTCCTTCCTATTTAAAATTGGTGAAATTGGCCTGTGGGTTTCTTTCATCTTTTTTTTTTTTTTACCAATTCAGTAAATGTAAAACCAATCCAAATATCAAGACCCAAAAATCACAGCACGGAAATCTATCTTTTTTGTACAGCATGCCCGTCACCCTCCCGTGATGGAAGTTTAGCGTAACCCAGGAGAGACCCAGCCTGGGAAATTCAACTCTCCTGCAGCACCCTGCTTACCCGGTTCACATTTCTTAGATTGACTGACTGGCATGTTGTCATTCTAGTGTCTGGCACGTGAACTTCGCCTACTCTGAGTATTTAAAATACATTGGAGGGTCATTATGCTGTGCTCTCACTGCTGTAGCTATAGAGCAGTGTTCAGGTTATAAATCCCACCTCTGGAGCCCAACGGACTTGAGTTTCAGTCCTGTTTAATAACTTTGTAACTTCCGTCACTTTCCTCATTTATAAAACGGAGACAGTAGTCGTACCTATTAGCATTTCCAACTTTGTAAAACATTCTTTTTGACGTTTCTTTGTCACAGTTGCTAGGAAATGAGAGTTGACTCATCAAACCAAGAATCAGCCATCCACAGTGACCGAAGCTTTCTACAACTTTGAGAAGCTGTCAAAGTTAAAAAAAATGTTGAAAAAGCTTTAGAAAGAGAAAGCAGTCATTGGGAGCCTTTTAAAAATATATAAAAGACAGTTTGATAAGCAGATAACAGAGTAACAGAAACCAAGAATGTCACTAGAGTGACAAAAGAAACCATTAACAAGGGAAAAGGGAGAAAACAAATATTCAAATATTTGTGTAGGCCTTTTAATCCTTATCAGTACGCTTTCCCTGTGCTGTCTGGGGAGGGGGGGGGGGCCCTCACCGTAGCCCTGGGAGGGAGGAGGTGGGGAGGAGGGGGGGAGAGAGAGGAGGAAGCTCACATTGCTGCTAAGGGTAAGGACAGTTGTTTGAGTGCCACTCAGGCCATGACACAGGAGGTCATCTCCTAAAACGAGCAAGGACAAAATGCACCAGGTCCAGGGGTTAACAAAGGAGAGCACTTCGCATGGAAGCTTCCTCCTCTCAGCACGGCGAGCTCAGACGGAATCTCTCAGAGGGGCCTTCCTACCCCACATTTGGAGGTTCCACCGGTAAAACCTTCTGACATGTTTTCCTCTGTGGATACTGCAAAGGAAGGCAAAGTAAATATCATGTGGAAAACGCTGATTGAAAGCTTTGTAAGGGGAAATAAAAAGACCAGCTGGGAAGGAAAGGAAATAAACATCTCAGGGGAAGCCAAAGTGATCAAAAGAATTATAAAAACAGGATAAAAAGAAAATCAATATTAAAAAGAGATAAAGTAGAATTAGAAAATAAATAGTAATGTGATTCCTTTCGAAAGTGTGAGCAGACACAACAGAGATGCTAATCACTGAAATAATTATAGTCGTTACTGTTTCAGGGCAATGCACAGCCCTCCTCGTTTTTCTGGGTCTTTCGACCATCACACCCTCCCTCTCCCCTGAGAGTGTGGCTGAGGGAAGGGCGCTGAACACGATAGCTGCTCTCACCTACTACATTTCATGGTGCTTTTTTGTTTTTTGGTGTTTTTTTTTTTAATAGTTTTCTCCTCCGAGGCAACCTTACCTCCAAGGTTTGGGGCAGCCTACTGACTGGTTGTGAGACTTGAAGGAAGGTGTTGAACCCTCCTGTGCTTCGAGTTCCCTTTGTGGAGAAAGCAGGGCAACCAGACCTCGCAGGGAAGCAGGACATACGGGCAGCAAAGGGCTTAGAAAGCAGTCGGTGTTCCCTGCTGTGGTTACTCAGCCCCATGCATCCTCTTCGTGAACGGAGGGCTAAGTGAGCATCTGCCGCTCTGTGGCTTCCCCAAGGTCCACGACGTGAGGTGGCCTGCTACTTGATAAGTAGAGTGTGAGTCAGCCCTGGTTAAGGGGAATATTGTTTTTAACCTTAAACACTCCATTTTCATTTGCTGGTGCTTGCCCCCGACTGACAGACTCTGTCAGTAGAACTGTGGGGCCTGTAGCCACCCCCCAGGGTGGGCCTGGCTTCTGTTTCCTTCCCTGAAACCGAGGACAGTTAGGCGTGTCCGCAGATACCGGCTTCGGCCGCGCTACACGCTGCTCTAACCAGCGGCAGCCGGTAAAATCAGAGCCTTCTTGACCAGAGAGGTTTGGGCACGTTGGAAATGTGCTGTCATCTGGGAAAGAGTAAATAGGAAGCAGAACAAAGTTCCCCGAAGGAGACGTGTATTGCCAGGCTCTCTCGGGGGGTGGGAATCCAGGGGCACGAATCCAGATGTGCCCACCATTGGTTCTGCACCAGGGCAGCGGGAGACGAGAAAGCGATACCCGTGAATACACTCCTTCGTCGTGTTGCGGGCACCGCGGGCGGGCACCGCTGGAGAACAGTCTGGAACTAGCCCGGTAGTCATGCTGCGTGCTGCACAGTCTCGGGTGGGCATCCCCTCCTCTTCGAGTTCTGTGCTGCTTGTGAATTGACCGTGTATCCTAGTCCCCAGCCTGCCTCCTGCACGCTTTGCTCATTTCTCAGGTTCCCAGGCCTCAGAATTAGCTCTGAAAGAAAGTAAAAATCCCTGGTGTACGTTGCCTCCACTTTCCCACTCTCTACCTGAAAATATTCTGTACTTTTCACGCACCGTGTCTTCCTCTGTTCACAGCCCACAGGCGAGGGGACACACCCCTTCTCAGACTGACCCCCCACCCCCAGTCCTGCCCGCTAGGGCCTCCGAGAGGACCTGGCTCTGCTGTGGTTTCCGCCCGCTGCATCTCCGCTCTCCCGGGATAATCACGCCAGATCTCCCCTGACCCTCTTCTTCCCTTCCCCGGGTTTCTGGAAAGCACCATTCTTCTCACCTTCTCACAACGATGCTGTGCACAGTCTCAATGTGCGCAAAGCTTCCCATTTCTCTTTACTCCCTCCCCCCTTCGACAAAGCATCACGAACAGCAAAATAACTAGCATGTATTAAACATTCGCAGTGGGCCAGATTCTTAACAAACATGGGCATGTACCCTGACAGTGACCTTCAGAGGCAGGCAGGGAGGTGGTCTGGATTTAAATTCTGGTGCATTCGCCCCCAAAGTCCGCGCTCTTGAGCTGTCAGGAGGGAGCGTGTATTTCGCGGAGGCCAACACTTGACAAGTTCTCTCCATTCTGTCTTCGTGTCTCTCACCGCCGTCCCCCGCCCTCGCCGTGGTTCTCCCTGCCTCATCTCATCATCCTCGGGCACTTACCGCGCCGTGCGCTTCTCCTCTTTAGCCTCCTCGTCCCATCTTGCCAAGCTCATGCTCCTTGTCGCAAGCCAGTGTCCCCGCAGCACACAAGGCGCCCAAAGAACTGCTGTCTGCCCGCGGCCCCCGCACGCCCACACACACGTCAGTCTCCCTCTCCCCGACCTGGAGCGCACGCCCGCGCGTGTCGAAACCCGTTCTTTCAAGGCCCGATGCACTGTCGTCGCCCTCAGGAGGCTCTCCGGGTGCCCTGTCATCCCCCCCCCCCCAGCCCCCTGCCAAGCTGGAGATCATCCTTCCGTGCGGTGCCCAGACTCACTGACACTCCTTCCCCCTCACTCGTCCTCGGTCTCTCTCTCTCTCTCTCTCTCTCTCTCTCTCAGAGTCCGTGTCTGTCTTCCTGTGCTCCTCGCGATCACAGAACCGCACGGAGCTCCTTTCACACCAGGCCTCCATCACAGGGTGAATGAAGGGGTCGGGGAAGGCGTCGGCCGTGGCGTACGGTGTTGAAAAAATAAGAGTGGTGTCACAGTACAAATAGGAGACTGGAACGGGGGAGCAGTGAGGCAAGCTTGTTATATACTCAGGCGATGCGCACCTGCCATGGAGAATTCTCACCTGAGGTGAGATGCCAGAAAGGCCGTTTAGAAAGCTGTGATCAAAAAAAAAATGAGCTGGAGGTGAGGCTGTTCAGGAAGCGTGAGCCTATGCGACTTTTCAGGAGAAGACCAAAGGGCAATGAACTCTGTCTTACCGTATGTGTAAGGGTGAGGAGGAGGCGGAGGAGGGGCCCTTCTGCCCTGCAGTGAGTATATAACGGAGAAAGCAGTATGCGGGGCCTGTTTAGAGAAGATCGTCTGCCAGCACAAGTTATATATGAGGCTCGGGTTGCTAAGGGAATGGTGGGACCTCTCCCTTTAGAGGTCCTCAGAGGTTGGATCGATTGTTACGTCTGCAGGCACACACACGCAGTCAGGTTCCAGAGCATTTTTCCGTTTGCTGACTCTTGCCTGAGTTCAGGGCGGGGAACCAATAGGTGCGCTGGGTCTCCAGGCCCTGATGCTGCAGGAAGCAATCGTTTCTAACAGACCAAGGACACAATAATAATAACTGCATTTCTAACCCTTGTCCTAGCTCCCTGAATCTTTATCCTCCAAGCCAGGAAACCCGAGTACGATGTGTACTGTGACCCCCATAACATTTAACAGCTTTTGATTGAGGTTTTTTTAAATACTGAACATCTTATATAGTAATCGTGGAAAGGGGCGGTGAAGAGCGCAGGCACCGGAGCCGGGCTCGATGGAAACCCTGGCTTTGTCACTCACGGCCCCCGGGGCCCTGGGTAACTTACACCACTCCTGTGCACCGCAGTTTTCTTGGCCCCATGCCATCAGACGCCCGTCTTACAGAATTGTTATGTTTACATGCAGAGCACTTGATACACAGTAACTGCTGAAAATGATTACGTTTCTTTTACTGAAGCATATGATATCGAATCTTTGTTCACGCCGTGTACTTCTCAAATGGGTCAGTTTGCTGCCAGGACGTGTTGCTCCTTGCCTGAGCAGTTTGGAGATGCGTGGACCCTTTCCAGCCACGAGGGTAATGTCCCGTGGTAGCCAGTGCCTTAGCTAGCCGAGTCCTTGCTGCGTGATTCTCACGAAGTCCCGCACCGTGAGTTGATGACAAGTGTGATCTTAGGAGACTTCTACCACACAATTTTAAAACTGTCTCCTTTTCAAGGATAAATGACTCAGAAATGATTCTCAAAAAAGAAATTCAGACACTTCTGTACATTGGGGCATAGAATTACTTCTGTCACCAAGATTGATTAAAGGGGTGTTAATGTGAAGGTAAGTACTACATTTGATTTAGGATATGTTAAATAGGCTTTTCATAAAAGCATTCGTAAAACACTTTCTTTTTTTTTTTTTTGTGCCCCTAGGAATAATTCAGGTTTCACACCAGCAGACACTGTGGCCATCATTTTCTGCTCTACACACAAATCCCTCACATTGGGTAAGTGAATCACGGACTTACAAACTAATTTACTATTACCTTCAGATAGTTACATCTTATGGTTGTGAAATTCAAGCAACTCTTCCAATTAAATGGAATGGGGTTTTGTCCACTCTGTTAAAGAACACTAGCAATGTGAGGATGGATCATTGCTTTGAAATATCCTTGTATGATTGAATCAATTTCTGAGGGCCTGAAAAATCTTTTCAGTGCTCATAAAAGGTTTTCAGTGTAGAACGCCAGTGTTAAAGGCTGGGGCCAGGGGCGCAATGGGCAAAAACTTGGCTTTGGGAGGCTCTAGAGTTGCTCCTGGGAAGTGTTACCTTATTTCCTGAAAGCTTGGAGCAAGGTGGAAATCATGTTATTTCTCTAATTTGATATTCACATTAGTTTGAAGTTCATTTCAGAATGCTATGTTCCTTCTATAAAGAAACACAGTATCATTATTATTAACTCAATCTGATTAGCACCTACAGTGAAATAAGTATTTATTTAATGAACAAAAAAATAGACTGGGAAGAAAGATGCCGTTTTCAACTTAGTTTTATCCGGTTTAGTGGCGTTGTCCCAATAACGTGTCTAGACATCCAGAACCCATGTTTTCGGTCATAAAGTAATGAGAAACTGTATTGAAACACATGGCATTCACAAACCCCTTGGGCTAGGAGGCACACTGTGGTAGAAGCTCATTGTAAGAACTCCTTTACGCGTCGGCACGTGACTCACTGTGGAGAAGGAAGAACGTGACATCACTCTTGAGTCTGCACACAGTAATGCATTCAGCCTGAAACCAGAAAGCAAAGACATCCCTAATGTTTTTACCAGCCCCACACACATTTGTCTGCTCCAATCTGTTGTCAGTCTTGCCAGGTTAGGGAAACGGTTTAGAAATGGGATAAACTCTTTAAGGAGCAGTTGCTACCTAGGGCTACAGCTTATTTGAATAAATTACCTATGTATATATACATATGTGTCTATACATATCACATGTGCATATATGTGTGTGTGTGTGTGTGTGTGTGTGTGTGTGTACTGTTCATACATTGCTGTATGTTTGGTAGGTTTTCCTTATAATTGTCATCAAATTGAAGCTGAAGGAGCTTTCAAAGCCACATTCCCATCCAGATTTTGTGATCTTGGACAAATCACTTAACTTCCCTGAACCGTAGCTTTCTTGTCGGTAAAATGCGTGTGGGGGGGGGGGGGCGGGTATAATGCTCACTTTGCAAGGGGATTGTAAGAATTAAAAATAGAATTTGTTAAGTGCCTAGCACAGTACTTGGTAGCTGGCTGTTGTTGGTGGTGGTCAGTCCATGCCAGAACGTGTGTGCATTGCTGCGGATTAAAGGGGACAACCCACCGAAAGAGCTGGGGTGCTGCCTGGCACACAGCAGATACTCTTTCAGCAGTAGCTGTTGTTACTAGTTATTTACTTGCTACAGTACTTACGAGTCTGTTACCATTTCCAGGGTTCCTGTCTCCCATTTTATAGATTTTCATGTAGCAGGTGTGGTTCAATCACTGACCTCCAAGAAACCATCTTACACTGTTTTGTTACTGTGATGTGATGTCTGGATGTCCTTCTGGGTCTCCTGAAAACTAAGGGGCTGTTATAAAGGTAGCAAGTCCAGAGGCAGATGCCACCAAACGCCTCAGATGTCCCAACTCAGGGATCCAGTGAGCCCAGGTCCTCAGGCAGGTGCTGAGCCATGGCCACAGCCAATGTCCTTGAGCATTTGTGCCTGTGGGCTTCTGCACCTGCCCCGCCCCCAGGGGGTCACCTTCATCAGGAAAACAAAATGGATTTTTGGGTCTCTCCCTGGCGGTCTGTGCCGGAGCTGGCTGTGCTGAACCAAGAGCTCCGCCCACAAGCACAGTCCTCCACTCTCGGGAGTGTCTTCCTCTCTCTCAGCAAGACAGCTATTCACTCTGCCTTTCTGTCTCTTCTTCTTCCTAATCCCAAAGCCGTACTCTTCTGTTCTCGATGCTTCTCTGAAAGCTGAATTTCAGACAAACGGGTGCTTGAAAACCAGTCGCTGTTTTGGTAAAAAGGGTCGGGTCAGTTTGGATTTTGTTTGCCTCTGTAGCATTCTTCCATATGATACTAGTGCAGTTATCTAAGTAACCACGTAGTATAAATCCTTAGTTACTTCTGTAACAGGATAGGCTCAATCTCTCTTGAAACCATGAAACCTAAATACTCTTCCCGACTCTCCCTGTGATACCTCCCCAGGCATCGGTTCTGTAGCTCTCAGGTCAGGGACCATTAGTTCTGACTCGACTGCTTTATCATGCCTTGATCACACCCGGCTTCCCTCCCGCAGTCCCCTAGCCATGGCATGTCTAGAAACGTCCCCTTGGCTGCTTTCCCTGTCTCAGAGAGGGGGCACGATGGCCCCTGTCCCAGGAGCCCCCTTGGTGTCACAGAGAGCCGGGGCCCTACTGCTGGAATGGCCTTGTTAAGCCCATAAGTTTACTCTGTCAGTTTTCACAAGATCCAATACATGCCTCTGTCTCCCGGTGCCCTGACATTGCTGGTACAGAGGCTGTATCACTCACTGACCTAAGGCAACTTCTTGTCTGCATGGGTAAGAATGATCCTAATGCAACTTCTAATCTGCATAGAAATGAAAGAACATCACACTCAGTGTGATGAATACATATTTCAGAAAGGAGGGGAAGATTCAGATCATTTCACTTAGAGTTGTACTTTCTCTCACCTCTCACGCACGGATGAAACACAACAGATTATACCTACTTGGAATTTAGAAAACATATCTATCCCTTTTGCAATCACAGTTGTAGTATTCTTTTAGTGGTTCTACACACACACACACACACACACACAGCATCGCAAATAGGATACTTGAGAAATACCATTCACTATCCCATCCAGTATTTGGATCTAAGAATACATCACTGCAGGCCAAGAGGTGCCCACGTAACCACAGAACCGAAGATGCAGACTCTTGCTGGAGAAGCCTGCTGAATATTCTCTTGTACGTACTCTCTCAGTTTCTTTTATTGTTCTTGCTTCTGGCCCGTCTCAGTCTCCTCCATGCACTTGCACCTACACACGTGCTGAATTTGATTCATTGCTTTTATTAGTGCATTTGCCATTGATTGATTAGTTTTTCGTATTAGTACTTTTTCTATTGATTGATTGCAGATGAAGTGACTATTTGACCTTTAATTATGAGGCTTCCTATTGAAAATGACATTGAGCTATGGCTTCACATAATCCATCTGGAAAGCCTGATGTGATGCCGTTCCCTGGAGTTCGTTCAGGAAGAAAGAGGAGGCCCGCAGGAAGGGCAGAGCTGTCGCCGTGCTGGGCCGCCTCTGAAACAATGCGGCCGGCTCATCTGCGTGCCCCGTAGCTGCAGCTCGGGGCTGGAGAGACTTGTATATTTCGTGAAGACAGCATCCTTTGCTGTGAGGTGCCTTAAAAGCCAGAGACTCCCCTAAAGTAATCTCTAGCTTGATGCTGGTATCGGTATGGTGATGGGAAGGTGTTCTACACAGCAGAGATGGAGGCGCAGGTCAACCCTAGTTAACAATGCCTCAGTGCACCTGGGTCAATAGATCTCATCAGGAAAGGAATTCGATCCCAGACACCCTGTGGAATTAGTGTCCTATTTTATTTATCTTTTTCTCTTGAGTATTCAAATCACTTTGCTCCTCTGGAGTTCTAACAGAAGTAGAAAAGTTTCTTACTCTACCTCGAAAGAGGATGTTTCGGGCTGTTTGAGATCCTTAAGTTCAGTGTATGTATCAGTTTTTGATGTTTTTAAACAGCAGAGTGGAAGCATGTGCCTTGAGAAGATGCCACCTGGCTGTTGGGAGGTCACTGGTGCGACTCCCGGTTATTTCTTATTTCCAGAAGCGTTTCTCAGCGGAAAGAATGCTGTCTAAATTTTAAGCGGAGTGTCATGATCAACCTCTATTAAAAGTCCACTCTGTGTCTTACCACTCACACACTCTTTTGCACAAATGCAAACCAAGCAGCCATTCCTCACGACCTTTACCCTTCGTTGCCATCTGTGGCTGCACTGTGACAAGAAACTACACATTGTGCAAAAAGAAGATAGCTTTTTTGTAGCCACCAGGTTCTGGAAAGAATATAAAGAACACAGACCTGATTCTAGTCAGCACTCAAGTTCCAGTTCTCTCCCCAGAAGGTGGACCTCGTCACCGAACCGGCGTGGCCTTGACTTCCTCAGCTGTGACAGGAGCGGTGGACCGCACGGGGCTGCAGGCCCCTCCCGCTGCACGTCTCCGTGCCCAGGGCTGACTCTCCTCTCTAAGGCAGCAGCAGCCTCCCTGCTACGCATGGAGAGAAAAACGTTCTTGGAAGGAACAGTTCTGTAAATAATGTTACAATATCGCAGGACAGGAAACAGGGCTGTTGCTTCCTCCTGAAGAGATAGATTAGAGACACATCGTGACACGCTCCAAAGATTTTCACAGAGAAACCAAGTCTGAAAAGGTTCCTGTGTTCGATTGTACTTGGGAGCTTTGCGAGAATACTAAGCGATTACCTGCAACTTGGGCTGAAAGCATCATTTAATACCATCTACATTATTTTCTCAAAAGGCAATGGAATTGAAATATGAACGTTTGCCATCCTGTTTTCCTTTTTTTCCTGAACTTTATCTGTGATGCTACTTGGCACATGAAGACTAGTATCTTAACAAAACCACTCTGCCTACCATGGGAAGCACTTTGTAACAGCACTTAACCCATTGAGGCCTGTTACCTGAACCAGGTGGAGTATCAAGTCAGTGGTTATCTTATTTTGCATGCAGAAAAGTGAGAGCATAGAAAAAAGTTAAGAACTTATCCCAGATCATGTAGAGACTGGATTCTGGGCCTGCAAACATCCAGCGATGCATTGGGTAATAGGATACAAAGCAGACCAGAAAGCGCTCTACTGAGTCCAGCTATGGTAACTGTGCAGTCCCGAGTGGGTTTCTGTTGTTATATCAATTGTTTAAAGA